AACAGCGCAGGCCCAAGGACTGAGCCCTGGGGGACTCCGCTGCCCACTTCCCCCAGGTTGAATATGACCCGTCCACCACCACCCTCTGAGTACGACCCTTGAGCCAATCTGCAATCCATCTGACTGTGTAGGCATCAATGCCACAGTCGCCCAATTTTTTAATGAGGATGGGGTGGGAGACGGTGTCAAAGGCCTTGCTCAAGTCCAGAAAGACTACATCCACGGTGACACCTGCATCCAAGGCTTTTGTGACCTGATCATAAAAGGCAATCAGGTTGGTCTGGCATGACCTGCCCCTAATGAAACCATGCTCGTTGCCCTTGAGCATCATCCCTGAGGCTGGCCCATCGCAGATGTGCTCCATGATGATCTTCTCAAAGAGTTTCCCTAGGATTGAGGTAAGACTGACGGGCCTACAGTTGCCCGGGTCCTGCCTCCTCCCTTTTTTAAAGATGGGGACCACATTGGCTATCTTCTAATCATCTGGCACCTGGCCTGAGCACTCATTCATCTCCCCAGTAGTAGCAACGACTACTTTACACCATTACATTTGTGCTCTGGGCAGTCACATACATTGCTGTCATGATTTTATTTTCCGTGTACTGCACCTTAAACTTTCTAGCCTACTGTCTGCAGAAGGAGCAGCTATTTGGTGAGACAAAGTTAAAATATCATATTGTAAGAGTGACATACTCTCATGGTAAGTTTATTTTTGATCTTTTTTTTTCCAGCTCCTGAGATGGGCGTGAAGAACTAGATAAAGGATACCCTGGGAGCACTTATTGCTGGAATTGAAATCTTTATAAGCAGCAGCCTAGGCCATTAGCAATAGTTTACTCTAAAACCCAAAAAAGATGTATTCAGCATATCACTGTGCAAGGAAAATATAATCCTGAGAAGGAAATACAACCCTGAGAAGGAAAGCTAATTAGAACACCATAGGAATATGGGTCATCTGGTAATGCAATTGGTGCCAGCAAGCCAGTGATAAGATAGGGGCAGACTAGATAATAGGTGGGTGGTTAGATTTTAAGTAGATTCCTTCTCTACAGGGAAAATGACCTTAGGAAACTTGCTTGAAGACACAGGAAGGATTTGGGTTCTGGGTTCATGTACCCTTGATTTATGCAGGTTCAGTATGTGCAAATTGGCTCTTATGCAATGACCCTTTTTATACCAAAAATTCGTTATATGCGAGGTAAATTCACTCTTATGCAATCAGTGTGGTGGAAGCCTGCAGTCAGCTGCTTTGTGCGGTGCATCGTGGGAGTGACGCACACCAAAATATAGTCTCCTGTGAGGATCTGTGCTCCTTGCTCGTTGTCTGTGACACGTGTTTCTGTATTTGCCGTCCCCATTATGGCTTCTAGGCATCCTGCTAGCTTATCTCCTACCCCTCTCTGCTGTTGGTGAGTACCAAAATTGTCTTGTAAAAGTGGTAGAAATGGGTCTGGGGTCAGTACAGTCGAGGTCTTGGAACATATCCCTATTTGTTACATTGTAAAGTGGCCTCCCTTTATGCAAATTTGAGTTATGCGCCATTTTCCAGGAATGCATCTACAGCACAAAGCGAGGGCAACCTGTATTTGGATCTACTGTCATAATTTCATTAGTTCATATAGTTTTTCTTTGAGGAAGTCCCAGTTGCTCAGTCATTGAACATGTCTTTGGACAATGCGTGCTCCCAAAGCCTTATCTAATCTCTATGTAATTAGACCTCTCTGCTAAATGACTGAAACGGGAAATTTCATTCGTTCGTCGTCAGTGATGATCAAAAGGAACCTCCAATCTACATATTTCCATGATTAAAATGAAACATCACTCATCCATATTAGTAGTGTTTCATTTAAATCACAGAAAAGTGTGGATTGGGGGTTAATTTTTTTAAAACCAAAAATTGGGGATTAAAAAAAAAAAAATCAAAGAAAACCAGGATCCCCGTGTCATCATGTATTTCTCATTGTTTCCTCATTGCTAGAGTATCTCAACGTTTATCTCGATTAAACCATCCCCCCTACCTCAACTGGATTTTTATTTATTTCAGACCAGCGATGCCCCTAAATCCTCACCCCAGCGCAGGGCGGGCTCTTCCCTCCCCTGCAAGTGTCCTGCAGGGGGCGCTCTCCGCCTCCCTCCTAATCCCGCTTCCAGCTTCCTTTTCTGCTCCCACCGCCCGAATCACCTTTATTTCCTGGTTGGCCAATCGGGGCTTCAATCTCGAATACTTCCCGCCCCCGAGGTGCCCGCCTCCGCGCCCTTGTTGCAGGCTGATTGGCAGGAATGTTTGTCAATCCCGCATTCTGACAGTCCCACCGCCCTGCTCTCGTCTACTCCGCGCGGGTTGGCGGGCGGACACGTCCATCGCGGGTGAGCCCCATCCCGCCACTACTCCCGCCTCTTGGGCGGGACGGCTAGCCCGATTCGTGCAGAGGCGTGTCAATCCTCGCTTAACCCCGCCCCACCCGCTAAGGCAGCCCGGAACATGGCGGCGGCGGGTGCAGGGGCTGGTGGGGGTCTGTGAGGGTCGCGGGCGCTGCGGGCTCCGATGCTGCGGGAGGCTGGGTCGTGGGCAGCGGCCGTCGCGGGGCCTCGCCGGGGCCGCTGAGAGCGCGGACGCC